GGGGCTCCCCGAGGAGGCGCGAGGGACCTGGCGAAGGTCCGGTCCTCGGGGCCCCGAGCTGAAGCGGGAAGGGGGTCCGGCGCTGCGGGTGAGTGGAGCTGCCAGCCGGGGCCCGGGTTTGGGGAACAAGAGGGAGGCCCCACCCCCAACCCGCTGTGTGACCTTAGACCAGGCTCTGCACGTCTCTGAATCTCAGCGGCCTCCGCCGTGAAATGAGTGAACGTGCGGAGGACCCGCTGCGAGTTTGCACGGATGGAGGTGCGGGGCATGAACCCGCGCCTTCCTCCCATTTATACTCTTATTTGCCCTCGACATGGATGGCCAAACAGGAACTGTGGCCATGCCTCTCAGCCTCCGAGTGGTTTTGGCCAAGTCAGCTCGCCCCGGCCCACGCTCTCCTCCCACAGAAGGAGTGCGCTTACCTTTTCAAAGCGCTTTATGACTTGAGTGTTATTGGTGGAGATGGAGGCCAGGTAATGAGTGCCCCCTTCTCACTCCAGGAGTGTGATAGAATGAATGTCTTCTTCTTGGAGGAAGGACGAGAGCGTGGCCCCCAATCCTCTCGTTCCCCAAATTCCCTGGTCCTCTTTGTCCTCCGTCCCTCCTTGGAGGCGTTATTTTTCATCCACGGGTTTGGTGCCACCTCTTCGCTGGGCAGCAACGGTTTGTGCAGGAGGTTCAAATCGAAGAGCAGTTGCAAGGCGAAGTCTGACCGCCTTTCTGTTTGTGTTTCTCAAGGGCAGGGAGGCAAGATGACTTCTCTCCCCCAGGCCTGGAACAGCTGAAGGAAACCACCGTGCAAGATGAGAACCACAAAGGTCTACAAACTGGTCATCCACAAGAAGGGCTTTGGGGGCAGCGGTCAGTATCGATTGGGAGTTGTGTGAGTTGGCCGCGGTCCTGGTGTGTCCAGTGCCTTGAAAATGACACACTGGCTCGTGTGACCATGTAGGCGAGACAGGAAACTTGTCTGAGCGAAGCAGCAAGTATAATACTTAGTGGAAGGGCAGTAGGAGCAGAGTACAGACCTTTTCTTTCTTTCTTTTTCTTTTTTTTTTTTTGTTGTTGTTAATCCTCACCTGAGGATATTTTTCCATTGATTTTTTTAGAGAGAGTAGAAGAGAGAGGGAAAGACAGAGAGAAACATCGACATGAGAGAAACACATTAATTGGTTGCCTCCTGCACGAGCCCCGACCAGGGCCCAGGCCCAGGAGAAGCCTGCAATCAAGGTACCTGCCCTTGACCGGAATCAAACCTGGGACCCTTTAGTCCGCAGGCCAATGCTTTATGCACTGAGCCAAACCGGCTAGGGCCAGGCCTTTTTTAAAAGCATTTGCACTTGGACCTATTTTTTAAGTTTGTTGTTTTTTTTAAATTTGATTTCAGAGAGGAAGGGAGTGAGAGATAGTACATCCATGATGAAAGAGAATCAGTGATCAGCTGCCTCCTTCATGCCCCCTACTGGGGATGGAGCCCACAAACAGGCTGACCAGGAATTGAACTGTGACCTACTGGTTTGTAGGTCAATGCTCAACCACTGAGCAATACCAGTCAGGCTGCACTGACTTTTTTTTTTTTAAATATATTTTATTGATTTTTTACAGAGAGGAAGGGAGAGGGATAGAGAGTTAGAAACATCGATCAGCTGCCTCCTGCACACCCCCCACTGGGGATGTGCCCACAACCAAGGTACATGCCCTTGACCAGAATCGAACCTGGGACCCCTCAGTCCGAAGGCTGAGCCAAACCGGCTAGGGCTGCACTCTGACTTTTAAGGAATATTGTGAATATTACCAATTAACACCTTTCATTTGTTAAATTGAAGGGTGTTACATCAGCCTGCACTGGTTTGGCAGAAAAGAGAAACTTACATTCAATGAGAGAGAAATAGCAGATGTGCATGAGACAGGTATGATCAAAGCATGAAGCTTTGCATGGCTCTGAGGCCATGTGAGAAGGGGCAGAAACACGGCGTGTTGTCCTGCACTAACCAGAATCCAGAGTGTCAGCTCTGCCTCTGACTTTCCCTGTGACCCTGGCCAGCCCCTGGTTTATCATATCTACACATCCACGGGCCTTATGTCTTTTCTCTGAGCACTTGAGTCTATAAATCTGCAGCAGAGGACACTTAGTAATATGATTTTTTAAAAATATATTTTATTGATTTTTTTACAGAGAGGAAGGGAGAGAGATAGAGAGTCAGAAACATCAATGAGAGAGAAACATCGATCAGCTGCCTCCTGCACATCCCCCACTGGGGATGTGCCCGCAACCCAGGTACATGCCCTTGACCGGAATCGAACCCGGGACCCTTCAGTCCACAGGCCGACACTCTATCCACTGAGCCAAACCGGTTTCGGCAGTAATATGATTTTTTTGCTAAATAAATAATTTTCTCTTCTGTCTTAACAACCTTATTTGCTTCAGCAATTGGAATTAACAACACAATGAGTTGTTTTAAAATTGTATTTTAGTATGCATTTGCTCCAAAGGCAAGGGCTGCCAAAAAAGGAAAAACAATCGTGTTTGTTTTTGTTTTTTTAGTATAGTTTTTATTGATTTCAGAGAAGAAGGGAGAGGGAGAGAGAGATAGAAACACCAATGATGAGAGAGAACCATTGATCGGCTGCCTCCTGCATGCTCCGCACTGAGGATTGAGCCTGCAACCCAGGCATGTGTCCTGACTGGGAATCGAGCCATGACCTCCTGGTTCATAGGTTGATGCTCAACCAATGAGCCACACCAGCCCGGTGGAAAAACATTAGTTTCTCTGTCATAAGGTGTTGTGGAGGTCAAGTTAGGTGACGTGTGGAAAGTATTTAGCAAAACACCAGGCTTGTTAGTGCCACTCCATAAATGTAGCCACTATCATGACCAGGACCAGGATAACCAGGCATTGCTGTACTTAAAACAGCTTCTGCTAAAACTCACCCTCTGTGGTTAACATTATCCTTGGCGTGCGGCTGATGCTGCCTAAACATGGGGGAAGGAGAACTGAACAGCCAACACAAATCACTTTTGGTAGAGGGACGGATGCCACAGGGTGGGGCAAATGTAGGTGTCCAGTTGTGAGTACACGAAACACAGAGTTCATTCTTGTGTTATTACTTATTAATTTTTGTATTATTTTCCATACGAACACCTGGAAACCTACTTGTGCCCCATCCTATGTAGTAGTAGATACGATGCATACAAGTCTGCTTTTTCCTGTTGACGAGGCCCAGGTGGCTAGGTGCTGTACCCTGTTTCCTGTAGGATTATAAATAAAAACACATCCAACCATTCTCAGGTGCACACCTGTGCCAAACATAAAGGTTATGAGCATGATAAGGTTCCTTGTCCCTGAGGGGCATTCAGCTTGAAGAGACAGACGAGCAAAAAGGAAATGATAACGTGAAGCAGAAGGAATGCATGCTCAGGGAGCTTCATTCCGACTGTGGAAGTTGGGACAAAACTGTCATAAAACAGAGGATTTGGCATAAAACTGTCAATGGAAACAATATGCCACAGAAGCCCTGGCCGGTGTAGCTCAGTTGGTTGAGCATTGTCTCATGCACTGAAAGGTTGGTTGCTGGTTTGATTCCCCACCTGGGCACATGCCCAGGTGGTGGGCTTGATCCCCCTGGTTGGGATGCATGTGGGAGGCAATCGGTCGATGATTCTCTCTCACATGGATGTTTCTTTCTCTTTCTCCCTTCCTCTCTAAAATCAATAAAAAAAATAACTATATATAAAATAAAATTTGGGATTAACCCCGTGCTTTGGTTCCCAGGCTGAATTTTGATTGGATCTGATTATGTTTGAAATTTAGATATACTTATTTGTCATGATTTTAGCTTAGTTAAAGGCCATGTCTTTCCCGAAATATCAAAAGAGGAAAAAAAAATCACTCCCATCTTTATGGCTTTGAGTATGTTGTATTTGCAAGAGTTCTCTTCCAAACAAAGCATGAAACCATGTCCGCCCTTTATTTTAAGGGTCTCTTTGGATCCTAATGTGAATGGTATCGGAAGCTTTTTCCCTGATCAGATGCTGCCCTTCGAAGCCCATTTTATTTGGCTTGACTTTCATGACATATGAGAGGTGGCGGGCGTTAGGTAGACGGAGCTCTGGCCTAGGCAGTCATCAGTCCTGGCTGTGCTGTTACTAGCTGTTTACCCTTAACCTGTTCTAGGGTATATCCTCATTTCTGCTAGATCCAAAGATTCATTGTGAGGGTCGTATGAAGACTGTACTTTTGCATCATTTTGGATAAATATAAGGGATTGTCCTGTCATACCCGCCCGAGGGGGTGGCGAGGACCCAGTGTGAGAACACGCACCACACCTGTCACTCACGTGAGTGTGTTTCCTGCTGGGGACGCCGAATTGTCTTTCAGATGATGAGCTGGTCATGAACCCCAAAGTGTTTCCTCACATCAAGCTTGGAGACATTGTGGAGATTGCTCACCCCAACGATGAGTACAGGTGAGTGCCTGACGGGTCAAGGGAGCTGACCGGCGGCTGTTTCCAGATGAGATTTTGTTTAAGGGGCTTGACGGGCAAGACAGCTCTTTGCCTTGGGATAAAAATGCTCCTGCCTCTAGGATTCGGTAAGCCCATCATCTTTTAAAAAGTGGTGCATTCTTTCTGGGTTTTTTTTTTTTTCATTCTTTCTGTTTTTTTATTTGTTATTAATCCTCACCCGAGGACATTTTTTCCCATTGATTTTTAGAGAGAGTGGAAGGGAGGGAGGGGAGAGAGAGAGAGAGAGAGAGAGAGAAGCGGGCATCGATTGGTTGCCTCCTGCACAAGCCCCAACTAGGGCCAGGGATTGAACCTGCAACCCAGGTATGTGTCCTTAACTGGGAATTGAACCCTCGACACTTTGGTGCACCAGCCAACATTCTAACCACTGAGCACACTGGCCAGGACCATTCTTTCTATTTCTGAAGCCGAATTGACAACTCTATGAAAAATTCTGGCAGGCTGGAAAAGATCAATGGGGATGTGGGGGAGGGGAAGAGGACCTATGTAATACTTTCAACAATAAAGTTTCTGAAGCCGAATTGACAACTCTATGAAAAATTCTGGCAGGCTGGAAAAGATCAGTGGGGATGCGGGGGAGGGGAAGAGGACCTATGTAACACTATCAACAATAAAGATTTTAAAAAGAGAGAGAGAAACATTCTGTAGCATTTTCCCATTTCCTTGAGTGTAGGTGCAGGATTACTTTGTTGTGCTGCAAGTTACAATATGTCCAGAGTCATTTGTTTACCTTTTAGAGGGGTTGCATGAAGAAAGCTAATTAGTTACTGCTTATAGCATCCCATCTTTTTTGTTGCTTTTTCCCCCCAGCCCTCTGCTTTTGCAAGTCAAGTCACTTAAGGAAGATTTACAGAAAGGTAAGAAAAAGTTCCATCTTTCTTCTCTAAGATTTTTATACTTTACTATCCCAGACACTGCAGGAAACACTGCAGGCTCAGGTCTTTATCTGCTTATGTCATCTGAAAAGCAGAGAATTCTAAATTTTAAGCTCCTGGTAGGCAGAGAGCATGGCTCGTCCATGGCAAAGGGTCAGTTGTGTTGCTTCCTGAACGTCTGAGTCTTTATAGATTAGAATATATGTACCTGCTTTTTTCCAGAATGTATTATTAGATTTCTTCTCTGTTTCAGAAACTATCAGTGTGGACCAGACCGTGACCCAAGTGTTTCGTCTAAGACCTTATCAAGATGTCTATGTGAATGTCGTAGACCCTAAGGTATGTCTTTGTTCTGGACCTGAATATCTTTCCGAGATGATTAGCACCCTTCCTCGAGGTTAGGCCTCTAAGGAAATAATGAGTTACTTACGTATAGTGTTAGACTATGAAATATGCAGTCACATGTAGGTTATTTAGATTATAGGTAGTATGTAAGTTGCATTTAAAATGCCCCCCCCCTTTTTTGCCCCTCTTTCTATAAGGATGGAATCTTTTAAAAAAATATTTATGTGTGTGTGTGTATATATATATATTTTCTCCTCCCTTTTTAAAGATTTTGTGTATAGATATCTGTGTGTGTTTGTGAAGCTACAAGTAAAGTTTTCTATTAAAATACTAAATTTTCTTTATAGTCTCGCACGTCTAGAAACAATGCTATAATAGGTAAAAATCTTCTAGAAGGTATTATTGACATTATCTAGGGAAATAAAACACAAACCTCGATGTCATATTTGTGTGTCAGAATTAAGACTAAAACAACACAATAGAGTGTACAGGCGATGTACTGTGGAATTGTGCATCTGAAACCTGTATAATTTTATTTTATTTATTTTTTATTTATTTATTTTTTTAATACAATTTTATTGATGTCAGAGAGAAAGGGAGAGGGAGAGAGAGATAGAAACATCAATGAAGAGAGAGAATCATTGATTGGCTGCCTCCTGCACGCTCCCCACTGGGGATTGAGCCTGCAACCTGGGCATATGCCCTGACCAGGAATCGAACCAGTGATCTCTTGGTTCCTGGGTTGACGCTCAACCACTGAGCTACACCCGGCTGGGCTAAAACCTGTATAATTTTGTTAAGCAGTGTCACCCCAGTGCAGTCAATAACAAGAGGAAAAAACTGAAATCCAGAACTAGTACTCTGGTGCTCTTGGCACTTAACCGTGATTCAGCTGCTGTAGCCTCTGCTACAGACTCATCACCTGTTCTCAGAAACCGTTGTTGGCAGGATAAAATCTGTTTGTCATGGTGCTGCTATTGGATGGTCTTCCAGTAGTTTCTTTTTTGCCAAAAGGTGTCTCCATGTGACGGGCATTATCTTATGCCCGTGAAGTGAGGCGGAATGATGCAGAGGGATATGTTTGATTGTCTTTTCTAGGATGTGACCCTTGATCTAGTGGAGCTAACCTTTAAGGATCAATATATTGGCCGTGGGGATATGTGGAGACTAAAGAAAAGTTTGGTAAGATATGATTTTTTTAAAGTCTGTGCCTTTTTATATTATATTAATAATCCATGTTCTCATAGAGATTAGAGGATCCAGTAAGGGAGAAGAGCTTACAGTCATTTCAAATTGCAGCTTCACAGACAATTATTGGGAACATTTTCTGTATCTTCCTCCATTACTTTTCATCGTGTTTTTTTTTTTCTTCTGGGAATCGAAACTGTGACCTTCCAGTGCTGGGAAGAGGCTCCAACCAACTGAGCCGCACTGGCCAGGGCTTTTTTCATAGTTCTTTCTTTCTATATATATATATTTTTTGGCTTTGTTTTGCTTGTCTATTATCGGAGAGTTTTACTCTGCATTTTTGGTTTGAATGGGAAATTATAATATTATTTGACATTTGAATAAAACTCTAGTTTTCGAATTTTCCCTTGTTTTCATTTGCACCTCACATGTCCTCCTTGTGTACAGCTATTTATTACCCCCAATTTTTAGATGTGAAAACTGAGATTGAGACGTTAGGTGATTGGCCGAGACTAGAAGGCTAGGAGCAGTCAGCACTGAGCTAAAATGCAGACCTCACTGCTTCCAGGTCAGACTGCTTTTGCCGTACCCTCCTCCCATTTTCCTTATTTTATCTTTAATTTACGTTTTCCACTTAAAATGATGAGTTCATCAAAATTGTGAGCTGGTGCTGAAAATTCTCTTTATTGGATTTTTTTTTTAGTATTATGAAACAACAAACTATAGGTGGAATTTCCACGCAGTGCATATTTTCAGAAAAAAAATCTTTGCTCATTTTTTTTTTTTTTTTGGTTAATCCTCACCTGAGGATATTTTTTCATTGATTTTCAGAGAGAGTGGAAGGGGGGGGGAGAGACAGGAGACAGAGAGAGAGAAACATCGATGTGAGAGAGACACATCAATTGGTTGCCTCCTGCACATGCCCCAACCAGGGCCAGGGATCGAGCCTGCAACCAAGGTCCGTGCCCTTGACCGGAACCAAACTGGCTGGGGCTCTTTGCTCATTTTCAGTGATAGAAGGAGGGTTCTATTTTCCGAAATGAGAGCTAACATGAGAACGAAATGTTCTATATTTAAGTGAGTTTGTAAATTTAGGTATGCATGCAAACATGTGAGGATAAGTATATCGGTGAAGCTGGCTGCTTATCCACCTGGTCTTTACTATTGTCTGTACTTGCCAAACTCTTAAGACCCTGTAATGACGTGCCCCAGCAGGCTTTCCTATAAAGCTGTTACTCCCAGGCTAATTGAACTTGGGGTTGTTTGGAGGGATGAGACAGCCAGGAGCCTTTCTTGATGACCTTTTATGGCCTCGATGTATTGTTACACCTCCCCCTCTTCCCTTAGGTCAGCACATGCGCCTATATCACTCAGAAGGTGGAATTTGCTGGCATCAGGTAGGTATTACATGACTCTAGTCAGTGGGAGCAGGATGTAATGCAGCCATGGGGCTGCAGATAGCATTTGAGGCCTATGGATGTCCCTGTAATGAAATACACAATAGTTTAAAATGTTAGGTTCTCTTCTGGCTAAAACAAACCAAAAACCCCCCCAAAATGCACCAGAGTCCAGGCAGCTGCTGAAGCCACCTGGTGTTCGGTAACAAAGGAGGTCTAGACTCATAACTTTAGAATTGGAAAAAGCCTCAGATGAACATACTTAATCAAACCTTTTTTTTTAAATACATATTTTTATTGACTTCAGAGAGGAAGGGAGAGGGAGAGAGAGATAGAAACATTAATGATGGGAGAGAATCATGGATCAGCTGCCTCCTGCACACCCCCCACTAGCGATTGAGCCTGCAACCCAGGCATGTGCCCTTGACCGGAATCAAACTCAGGACCCTTCAGTCCACAGGCCAACGCTCTATCCACTGAGCCAAACTGGCTGGGGCTAGTTCTGCCTTTTTAACTGTATTGAATTACTCTTGATTTATTAAAGTTATTTCTATATTTCAGTTTGTTAAGAAGAGACCCCCCTTTAAATTAAAAAAGCACGCTTCTGCCCTGACCGGTTTGGCTCAGTGGATAGAGCATCGGCCTGCGGACTCAAAAAGCACGCTTCTATATACATAGTAAAGCTGGTGGTACAAAGATGTGTATAATGAAATATATAATCCTTTTCCTTAGAAGACACTGTGTCTTTCCTGAAATTTGTTGCACATGTACAAGCATATTTGCACCTGGTTGGCTCACTTAATCATGTTAAGGTTGACATGTGGGCTCTGATGATGTAGTCTGAAGTTCCCCATCAACTTTTTACCTAATGGTTTTATCCATTGATGATTGTTGTGAGATGGTGGTTTTCTAATTCAGTCATTCTTTCTACATTTATTAGCCAGGATCATTTTGAAAAGAACTTTTATACCAGCTACTAGGATTGTTTGATTGGTCTGAACTACTTAATTGGGAAAGAAAAAAAGGATAAGGGAATTTTCCCCCCCAAAAAGGGATGTTTTATGATTCAGCCATAAATTGGACGTGCAACCACTGCGCATACTGGCTGGGCTGTCCTGGGTTTGTTTTGACTCATAAGACCTGAGGATATTTTCCACTGATTTTTTTTTTTTAGAGAGAGAGAAAAACATCACGTGGGAGAGTAACATTGATTGGTTGCCCTCCGGGCTGGTCAGCGCTAAAGGCCATGTTCTTTCACTGTTCTACCCATTTTACAGTCTTAACAAGTGGCAGAGGAGAAAACAACAAGCCCCCAAAACACAATAGCAAGTTGCCATGAAAATTATTCACTAGAATGACCTCCATTGTATAGGGCAGTGGTCGGCAAACTCATTAGTCAACAGAGCCAAATATCAACAGTACAACGATTGAAATTTCTTTTGAGAGCCAAATTTTTTAAACTTAAACTATATAGGTAGGTACATTGTTATTAACTTAATTAGGGTACTCCTAAGGCTTAGGAAGAGCCACACTCTAGGGGCCAAAGAGCCGCATGTGGCTCGCGAGCTGCAGTTTGCCGACCACGGGTATAGGGCCTCTGCCCCTTCTTGCCTTCTAACTGCCTATCTTCTAATCCTGATATTAAGATGGATTTTGTTTCTGTTGAGACTGACGGTGTTAAAACTGGGATTAGCAGAATTGCTCATCAGTGCTTCTTAGTTGTTTTTTGTGTGACATGGACCCTTTTAAGATTTGACAAAAGCTGCAGTACCCTGCCCAGAACAAAATTTGCATCACTGGAGAGGGTTCATGGCTTCCCTGTAGCCCTTTTTTCAGACCCACGTGCTGTCTGTGGACGCTCAGATTAAGAGTTCCTGTTGTGCATATACAACATGCTCTAGGAATTCTTCATGTTGTGTAATCCGTCCATGGCACTATCTCTGGAAATCTGTAACTGGCGAGGTCACTTGGGTAGAAGTAACAGAGTAGAGTGAGCCGCCCGGAAGTCACCACCGTGTCTTCATGGTTCATGTAAGACTTGTAATAACTTGTGTGTGTGTTTCTCCTTTTAGGGCACAGGCTGGTGAGCTGTGGGTCAAGAATGAGAAGGTCATGTGTGGTTATATCAGTGAAGATACCAGGGTAAGATGGAGAAAATGCTTCTTTTTTTTTTTTTTTTGGTTTCGTTTCCCCAGATGGTGATGTCTAAGGCCTGAAATAAAAAACAAAACAGAGAAACAAGCAAAAACTTGATAATGAGTGGCACAAGGCCCTCTGCTATTAGATAAACTTTATAACCGGTTCAAGTACCTGGTTTTCCAGGCCCCAAATTTTTAGAAGTAGCAAACATAAAAAGAGAGGGAGTATTAATGTCTATAAGTTATTTTTATATAGAAAAAATACGGTGGGTTGATTGATAGATGGCGAGGGATGGCTAGATGGTGATGGGTGGTATGTTCAGTATAGGATTTAGGTGGTGGGTATGTGGGTGGTTGCTGTATGATTTTTAAAAAAACGTTTTTGTATGTTTGGAACTTTTAATAATAAAATAATAAAAAACACCCCAAATTCTAAATTAAGAATGGCAACATTAATATGGCTATATATCTACATAAATATTAAAATATGATAGAAAAAGTTATAATCGACATTAACTAGAACGTTTTAAAGTATCTTTGAAAGAGACTCAAATATAGTAAATGACTAATTCACTTTATTATTTTTTAAAAAATATATTTTATTGATTTTTTTTACAGAGAGGAAGGGAGAGGGATAGAGAGTTAGAAACATCGATCAGCTGCCTCCTGCACACCCCCTACTGGGGATGTGCCCACAGCCAAGGTACATGCCCTTGACCAGAGTCGAACCTGGGACCCTTCAGTCCGCAGCCCAGCGCTCTATCTACTGAGCCAAACCGGTTAAGGCTGATTAATTCACTTTAAAAAAGGAAGACAAACAGCCCAATTGACCAATAAACACACGAGAAGATGTTCTAATCTATGTCATTAGTCATTAGGGAAATGTCAGTCAAAACCATACTGAGCTACCACCTCAAACTCACTAGGATGCCTATGATAAAAATAAAAATTTTAAAAAGGAAAATGACAAGTGTTAGAGAGGATGGGGAGAAATTAAAACCTGCACACACTCCCGGGGTGAATGTAACATGGCGCGGCCACTGTGGAACAATTCGGCGGCTCCTCCAAAGGTTAGATGTAGAATCACCAAATGACCCAGCCATTACCCTCGCAGGTACATGCCTGATAGAATTGAAAATATGTGTTCCCACAAAAACTTGCATACAAATGTTTGTAGCGGAATTATTCACATAGCAAAAAGTGGAAACAACCAGGAATGCCCATCAGCTGATGAGTAGGTAAACACAGTATGGGATAGCCATTCAATAGAAGGTTATTCAGTAAAAAAAGAATGAGCCCTAGCCGGTTCGGCTCTAGGTTCAGTGAGTAGAGCGTTGGCCTGTGGACCGAAAGGTCTCGGGTTCGATCCCAGTCAAGAGCACATACCTCAGTTGCAGGCTCCTTCCCAGCCCGGACCCTGGTCAGGGCTCCTGCAGGAGGCAACCAATTGTGTGTTTCTCTCACATCGATATTTCTGTCTTTCCCTCTCTCTTCCACTTTCTAAAAAACAAAGGAAAAAAAACCCCTGGGGAGGATTTAAAAAAAAAAAAATGAAGTGATGATTCATGCTGAACCTTGAAAACATTATGCCAAGTGAGAGAAACCAGTTAGAAAAGGCCACAGATTGTATGATGCCATTTATATAAAGTGTTCACAAGAGACAAATCCATAGAGACACGGAAGAGGGTAGGAGGGAGTAACTGCTAGTGGGTATGTGTTTCTTTTCGGAGCGATAAAATGTCCTGGCATTAGCGCTGATGGTTGCGTAACATTGTGACTATGCTAAAAACCACTGCGTTCACTAAGAATGGCGAGCTGAAACTCTACAGCATTGCTTTTCTAATGCAGTCATGTTTTCGTTTATTTCAGGTGGTGTTCCGTTCTACGTCGGCTATGGTTTACATATTTATTCAGATGAGCTGTGAAATGTGGGATTTTGATATTTATGGTACTGTCCCTAAATGCTGGCTGTCACTGCTAATGGGGAGAAGTTTCTGGTTTCTCCCAAGTTGTTATCATTGACCGTAAGCCCTTGACATTCTCTAACGACGTGTTCCTGGGATTTTTACAAATTCTCAAATGCTAGAACAAACAAACAAATTATATATTTTCCATATACTGAATTACATGACATGTGGCAAAGCTTTAAAAGGTAAACAAAAAGATAAACTAAAGCACAAACACTCATAATGCCAATAGATCTTTAATTGTCCTGTGACTACAGGGTCAAAAGTCATAAAGAGAGTGACTCTGTGAACCAATACTTTCTTTGCTATCTTTCATTTCTCGTCCTATCATCCCAGAAATCTCATTTTATTAGAACGACGACACAAGTAGAGAACAGTAAAGGTGCTAGGCAGTGTGGATACTGTGTCCAACACACCAGCTTCATGGTGCACGCAATTCGGATTTGTGTTTTATAAAATTATAAATTCCTTTTTTCCTTCGGGTCATCAAAATCACTCAAAAACAGCAGGAACTGAAAATGGTAATTCAGCCAATGCCAGGGTCCACCTGATCATCTAATGAACTGCACGCCTCCCTATGAAAATGATCATGTTTGGAAATTAGATGGTTCTCTCATTTTGAAGACCCACCGTATTTTCCAGTCGTCAGAGCTTTTTCAATCTTGCATTTTACCTCGAAGCCATGGCCTCTCACTCAGTGAGGTGAATGCTGAATTTGACCCCATAGAAAGTCTAGGTTGAAACCCCTTTTGTATGTCTGGCTTTTATGATCTCGTTTGAGGACATAGTAGAACCCACCTTCTCTTTGACCAGTCCCATTCCTGTGACTTTACTGAGAGAAGAAATTGTCAGCGAGAATGACAGATTGTCCTCACCCTCCTCTTGTTCCTTTTCAGGGGATCTGTATTTTGAGAAAGCTGTGAATGGTTTCCTTGCCGATCTCTTTACCAAGTGGAAGGTATGTTTCCTCTTACACACTCAGTCTCATCGAGCAAATGTTATTCAATGCAGATTTTAAAAATACACTATTTCTATTAAACTGTATTTCATTGAGGTATCTTAGCTAAAGCCTAAGTTGATGAGACTCGACGTAAATTACTTTAATCACCTTGACATTGTGAAAAGCATTTATGAAAAACCCATAGTTAATATACTCAATGTGGAAAGACTGATAACTTTCCCCCTTAAGATCAGGAATAGTATAAGGATGCCTGCTGTCACCACTAGTTTTCAACATTGTCCTAGAAGTTCTAGTCAGAGCAACAGCGTAAGAAAAAGAAACAGTGGCCCTGGCCGGTAGCTGGGTTGGTTCGAGTGTCGTCCTGAGATGCCATGGTTGTAGGTTTCATCACCGGTCAGGGCACATCCAAGAAGAAACCAGTGAATGCACAAGTGGAACAACAAATCTATGCCTCTCTCTCTCTCTCTCTCTCTCTCTCTCTCTCTCTCAAATCAATAAATAAAAAAAATTTGTTAAAAAGAAGTATTTGAGGTCACACATGTAGCAGAAAAGAGCATGGAGTCTGGAGTCAAATAGACTGGGTTTCAAATTACGGTTCTGCTCTGATTAGCTTCTTTACATTTGAGAAGAAATCAGTCTCTCTGAGCCTCCGTTTTCTTATCTATAGAATCGAGATAATAATAGTCACTAACTCACAAGGTGTTTTAAATTAGCTGCACATAGTCAGGTCTCAGTAGGGTCTGGGTCTCAATGTAATCTAAGTCTCATTCTCTTTCCTCAGCAACATAGGGAAAATGTCCTCCAGCTCTGAAGGTTAAAGAAAATAGAAATTTAATGCTTGCCCTCAGAGAACTTACGGAGATTGGATATATGTACATTGGGGCCTTGACTTACGAGTTTAATTCGTTCCGTGATAGAGCTCGTAACTCAAATTACTCGTATGTCAAATCTTAAAGTGAACGAGTGAGACACGTTATGCTGGGCTGATGTTGTGGCGTTCACTGTGACGTTCGCTGCGTCAACTAGCGGTGGGGTATCTGAAGCTGGCTTGTAACCCGAATTTTAGCTTTAGCTCGCAAGCAAAAAATCGGCCGAGAGACGGCTCGTTCTCGAAAAACTCATTAGTCGGGACACTCGTAAGTCAAGGCCCCACTGTATTTGAAACAGCAGCTAACCATACATTTTTAATTATTATTATTATTATTATCATTATTATTATCATTATTATTATTTTAACTATACATTTTAGGGGCTAGAATGTTATTTACTTTTGAGTTTGGACCTGGAAGGCGGGCTCCCTGTTGCAAGCCAAATTTCATGCCACCTGTAAACACTCCACTTCCTTGGTCTCCAGGCTCCATGGGAGTGCTTCTCACTAGTCCCTATCCCAGTCCAAAGGGAATGCATTGCCTTGGCTTCAACCCCTGCCTCTCGAGCAGCCCCCAGTCCTCATCCTATGACAGTGACAGGATGTGGGGGTTTCTTTGAGTCTGACATCACCACCAGCAGTTCTGTTCACGTTCCCTAAACTGCACGTATGTAGAAATTAGAAAACACTGCCTGGCCATCGTGGCTCAGCGGTTGAGCATTGATCTATGCACCAGGAGGTCACGGTTTGATTCCAGGTCAGGGTACATGCCCGGGTTGCGGGCTCGATCCCCAGTAGGGGGCGTGCAGGAGGCAGCCGATCCATGATTCTCTCTCCTCATTGATGTTTCTCTCTCTCCCTCTCCCTTCCTCCCTGAAATCAATAAAAATTATTTTTAAAAAAACAACAACACTGACGCAGATATAAATACCATGATCCTTAGACACTGGGCTGGTCTATTTCATGCCAAATCAAGAGCTGGGAGGCAGGGACCTCTACTCTTTTTGGTGATTTGCAGCTTTCAAAGCATTTACCACATGCCTAGAGTTTGAGGGAACTTGCCCAGGGTCACGTAGTGCTAAGTCTCAGCGCCAGGGCTGAGTCCAGCAGCGCTTTCTTCATCGCCTTGTGCAACCTGTGATTACCTGATGTTATCTGAGACTGTACTACCCACCATGCCTCCTAGCACTGAGAATGCTGCGTTCATGCGGGCCGCTTCATGTGGAAGGAAATGGAATAAACCTGAGCCTTCTTTTTCTCTACTCATGCCTAGGAGAAGAACTGTAGTCATGAAGTGACAGTGGTCCTATTTTCTAGAACTTTCTATGATGCAAAATCGCTTGGTGAGTACGTCTTTCTCCTAGTTCTTTTTTGTTAAGCTCATTCATTCTTTATTATCTTCTTTCCCTTTGCTCCATCATGCTCACCCTTCCTGTTCTATGGTCGGTAAAGTGGCAAATAGCACAGTCCCTTAGCGGGCGCAAGAAGTCCGTGGGCTGTGATTCATCTTAAACCAACTTCATAGACACATCATGCTATTTATTTATTTTTGTGATGCAAATGTTCAACCCAGAAACACGGGAGCAGAGGAACTGAGTCTCTCTTTTCAATCTCATCTCTGTTTTCTCTGTTTCAGATGAATTTCCCGAGGTAAACCGAGCCTCAATTCGGCAGGATCACAAGGGGCGATTCTATGAAGACTTTTATAAGTATGTTTTGGGTCCTTCACTAGAAACCCCTGTCTTTGCTTCTTGGTGGTTTCTTTCCTAACTTATTTTTTTTTTTAATTAACCTTTGTGTTTTGGAGTAATTTTAGGTTTACAGAGAAGTTGCAAAGATAATCTAGAGAGTTCCCATATACCCTTCCCCCAGTTTTCTCTGTTAACATGTCATAACCAAGATACATTGGTCAAAACTACAAGAACATTACTATTCACTGAGTTTCAGACTTTTCTCAATTTCACCAGTTTTCCATTTACGTACTCTGTTGTTCCACAGTCCAGTCTAGGATACTACATTGCCTTACGACTCCCCAAACTTTTTGTGGGAAATATTTCAAACTTGCAGAAAAGAATGAGTAATATAATGAACCCATATACCCAACGCCTGGTTTTAACAGTTGTTATATTAGCTTCATCTGTTCTTTTTGTGGCTAAATTATGTTTGAGAGTAAATTATAGCCATTATAACATTTTGTTCCTCTGCATATCTCAAGAGTAAGGGCATTTCCATGTATAATCACAGTGTAATCACATATATATCCACAATTTTTTTTTAATCATAATCACCTTTAACAAAATTAATAATAATTCTATAGTATTATCCAATATCTAGTACATATTCAGATTTCCTTAATTGTCTCCAAAACAACTTTTTTGTTTGGTCTGCTTAAGCAATTTCCCCTTTCTTCCCTCCCCTCCCCCACCAGGTGTTGACTTAATGGAGAATCTGAGTCAGTAGTCAGGTACATGCCCTTAACTGGGAAGCAAACCCACAGCCCTTAGGTGTGCGAGCGGATACTGTAACCACTGAGCCACACCAGCCAGGGCAAGGCAATTTTAAAATATTTTCTTCATTTCAATCTACGTGGCTATTGACATGATTACATTTCTTTGTTAATATTTGTTAAATGTACTTGACTTTATCACTTATAATTGTATGATAAAGTTCCCTAACTTTGGAATCCCATCTCTCTTCTCCTTTCCTTGCAACCCTCTAAGGGACCTGCTGTCCTGTGAGTAGTAGTTGACTGATATCTGTTTTATGATGATGCTCCTTTCAGAGTGGTGGTGCAGAATGAGAGGAGAGAAGAGTGGACGTCACTCCTGGTGACCATTAAAAAGCTCTTCATCCAGTATCCAGTGTTGGTGCGACTGGAACAGGCAGGTACTGCATCCATGGGGTAGAAGGTGCAGCGGGGAAGAGAGGTGTAGGGCGAGGCTGGGAGAAGAAGAGGTTCACGCTTGTTCCCCTTCCAGTGCTGTGTGTAATTTCTGCTTCCGTCAGGTTTCTTTAAAAAAAAAAATGTTTTTTTCAATTGATTTCAGAGAGGTAGGAAAAGGGAGAGAGAGAGATAGAAACACCAACGATGAGAGAGAATCATGGATCGGCTGCCTCTTGCACGCCCCACACTGGGGATCGAGCCTGCAACCCGGGCACGTGCCCTGGCCGGGAATCGAACTGTGACCTCCTGGTTCCTAGGTTGATGCTCAACCACTGAGCCACACTGGCTGGGCCCAGGTTTTTGCTTCTGGTTGGGTCCGATTGTTCATTACACATGCAGTAGGTTCGATAATGTCCCTACTGCAGGGTGCGGGGGTGTCCTGTGGAGCCAGGCACCTTCAACTTGCTTTACAAGACTTTCTCATGAGCTGTTTTCCTTTTCTTGTGTCTCTCGCTTCAGAGGGCTTCCCTCCAGGAGACAATTCTACCTCAGCACAAGGGAACTACCTAGAGGCCATCAACCTGTCCTTCAACGGTGAGTGAGTTCAGCGCCACCGTGAGCAGGCATCCTGCTGACCGCATGACTCTGAACTTCTCTGTATTGATGCCAAAGACCCAGGCCTGGTTGGTGATGTTCACACCACATGCCCCCCAAATTAATTGAGAGCATTAACTTCTGACGGCCAAAATGTAGCCCTTAGGTCTTCTGCTGGGAACTTAACTTGCTGTTCTCATCTGTTTCTCAGGGTAACCTCAGAGTAAAGCGCTGGGGGATCCTCTTGGCTCTTTGTTTTACTAAACTATATTCTTACTCTTTTCACCCCGGCCCTCAGCTGCTCCCAGGCAATTTTTTCAATCAACTTTTAAAAAAATTACAAAAGTGACCTGTGTGCCTAGAATTCAAGTCATGGAGAGGGATAGTGAAGAAATTCTCCCCTTCCTGCCACTGTCAGGCTCCTTCCGAGAGCGGCGTTGTTAAGAGTGTGGCAGGATTTCTTCCTGATGTTTGTCCCTACATTCCTCTGTTAGTTTGCAAATACCAGAAACCTACTAAATTCATTTAAACAAAAAGGAAAATTTACTCTACAGGTACAGGGGCTCAGTGGGGCAGCCGAGAAAGGCCTGAACCCCATGTTGAAGAATGTGGGGGCCAGGGTGGCTCTGGGAAGCGCAGCGGCAGGAATTCCTCGAACTGTGTTCATGTCCCAGCAACCCCGGCTCTGCTCTCTGTTCCGAATTCCACGTTCCCAGCAGAGAGCATCTGATCGGACCAGCCCCGGTTAGGCATCTGTCTGGCGCCGACCAGTGGTGGAAGGGACCCTGTGTGGGCACTTCACTGTGCATATCACCCTCCCACGGCCTGCACTCGGGCGCTGGGCATTCCAGAGCCTGGGGTCTTTTATTAATGAGTCTTCTGTCATATTTGGATATCACTGATTTTCCATAGTGAGAATTTCACAGGCCTGAAATAAAAATTAACTTTTGGTTCTGGCCCATCTCTTTTAAATATTGTCCAAAATTAGTATTTGATTCTGTTTTTAAAAATATATATTTTTATTGATTTCAGAGAGGAAGGGAGGGGGAGAGGGAGAGAGAAACATCAATGATGAGAGAGAATCACTGACCGGCTGCCTCCTGCACGCCCCCTACTAGGGATTGAGCCTGCAACCCCGGGCATGTGCCCTTGACCGGAATCAAGTCTGGGACCCTTCATTCTGCAGGCCAACACTTTATCCACTGAGCCAAACCAGCCAGGGTAGTATTTTATTCTTAGAAGTTTTAATGCTGCCTCATTTGTGGAAACTAATGACATGAAGTTTGAGCCTATAGGGCTGGCTGCACAAGGCAAGTATCAATGGAGAGCAATGAACAAAGGCGACAGTGACATAGTCTTGTGTGAGGCAGTTCTTAATGTAAAAGGGGACAGGCAGGCATGCGCGTGACCAACTAGAAACCAGGTCAGCATGTGGCAATTGCTGTGGTAGCGATACAGGTAAAATGCTCCGAGAAGAGAGGGTCTTGCCCGTGGCTGGTTTCCCAAAAGCTGTAACATCTCCATTGGAGGATTTCTTTTGCTTCATTTCCAGTGTTTGACAAGCACTATATCAACCGCAACTTTGACCGAACTGGGCAGATGTCCGTGGTGATCACGCCTGGGGTGGGTGTGTTCGAAGTGGACCGTCTACTCATGATCCTGACCAAGCAGCGGATGATAGATAACGGTAATGCTCCCTGGGTCCTGCTGACTTCCCCTTAGAACTCAGCTTCCCCTGGCTCTGTGCATCGGAGGTCGGGGAGTGTGAGTGGTATCAGGCGACAAAGAATTCCATGGTCAGAGTGGTTTGGGAGAACTTGGGTCATACACATTTAAGCCCATTCCCTAAGTTCAGATTTTTTTAAAATATGTTTTTATTGATTTCAAAGAGGAAAGGAGAGGGAGAGAGAGAGAGAAACATCAATGATGAGAGAGAATCATTGATCGGCTGCCTCCTGCAGGCCCCCTACTGGGGATCGAGCCCGCAACATGGGCATGTGTCCTTGATCGGAATCGAACCTGGGACCCTTCAGTCCGCAGGCCGGTGCTGTATCACTGAGCCAAGCCAGCGAGGGCCCTAATTTCAGATTTTAATATGTCAGTGTTCCCTGCTTATCTCTAAAGGGCATACCTGGTGCCCTGAGTTTCCCAAACGTATTTGACACTGGGGAGCCCTGGTGGGGGTGATGGTTTCCGGGAACCGGTGTCCATCAGCCACACGGGGAAGTCCCATCAGATGGTCCAGTGCAGCCCTCCCTCCGTGGGGTGCCGTGCTTCCCCAACTCGCACCCCGGGCCCCCATTTCATCTGTGCTTCCACAACAGGATGGGGCTGGGAACGGAAATCCCAATTGCCAGTAAAGACGCCCTGTTAAGTGACGGGGATCGTCTGGCTTTTTACGGAGATGACAAGGTTCCTTTCCCTGTCTGGCCTTGACCCTGGTCATGGAGGCCTGTCTGTCTGTGTGACAAATCGTGATCTGCAAGGCAGGCAGAGGCTGACTGTCGAGCACCAAATAGTGGCAGGTGTGACAGACCGGGGAACAGGAACAGAGAAAGAACAAAACACATCTATGTACTTCTTTGCTGCGTAGGCAGCACAGGGGGTTGTAAATCGTGGCACAGAAAGTTGGCTCTGCCCCAGACCCCGACCCAGTGAGATAACCTCGATAATAGATGGGAGCACTGATCTCCGCCTCTCCCCGCCTTGCCTCTCCCCAACCTCTTTTGGTTTTGTTTTTTAGGAATTGGTGTGGACTTGGTGTGCATGGGGGAGCAGCCGTTACATGCCGTCCCGTTGTTCAAGGTGATTCGGTTTTGGATCGCTTACTGAAGGCCAGTTTCCAGGGCTGGGATGGTCTTGAGAATAGTTTTCATTAAAAACAAGAGTTGGAGAAAAAAAAAAAACAAGAGTTGGGGCTGGGGGGCGGGGGAGGGCGGGGGCAGGCTGCAGAGGTGAATGGGGGGAAAAGGAGGACCTGTGTAATACTTTCAGCAATAAAGATGAAAAGAAGGAAAAAGAGAAACAGAAGTGGAGCAGTCGCGTGGCCTACTTGTTTTCGTAGCTGATCTGTGCCTGACTTTCTCGCTTGCAGCTGCATAACCGGAATGCTCCTTGCGATTCCCGTCTGGGCGACGACTATAATATTCCTCACTGGATCAACCACAGGTGGGTGTGATCTTGACTCATGGTATGTGACCAGAATGTCAGATAACTTCCTTGCCATTTTCTCTGTAAAGTCTCTTGTCAAGATGTGGAAAGCAAAGCTCTAACAGTTGCTTAAAGCTTCTCTATGTACATGCCCGACCAGCGTGGCTCAGTGGTTGAGCATCGATCTATGAACCAGGCGGTCACAGTTTGATTCCCGGTCAGGGCCCAGCATCATGCCAAGCATCTGGGTGAAAATTATTATGGCGTAAATAGATTTATCTCTGCCAGAAGAAGGAAATTCTAATCCAGTTAGGAATCAGAACTAGCACGAACACAATTGAAAGCATAATCAATGCTTTATAGTAATTACAAAATGAGTTAGAATTGGGGAGACCAGGGAAGCCTGAGACAAAGGCATTCACGAGGCGGCTGATCCAGGGCTGCGATTTCAGCTGTGTCTTGAGGTTTAAAAAAGAAGGGGGTTCATGCCCTAGCTGGTTTGGCTCAATAGATAGAGCGTCAGCCTGCGGACTGAAGGGCCCTGGGTTCGGTTCCAGTCAAGGGCACATGCCCGGGTTGCGGGCTCAGTCCCCAGTAGGGGGTGTGCAGGAGGCAGCCAATCAATGATTCTCTCTCATCATTGATGTTTTCTACCTCTCTCTTCCTCTTCCTTCCTCTCTGCAATCAATAAAATATATATATTTTTAAAAAGGGTGTTTAGATTGATGACCCTGTTTGTTTCTTTCACAGTTTCTACACCTCCAAAAGCCAGCTCTTTTGTAACAGTTTCACCCCCCGGATAAAACTGGCCGGAAAGAAGGTAGGTGTCACCCGCCAGCAGAGCCTTGAGGGACTGTCACACACCCAGGCGGTTATTTTGGTCCTGAGAAACTCCCTTTCCCCCGAGGGAATAAATGAGTTTCAGAAATTGTTTTTAGAACTTTTTACAATTCCCCACATTAAATAACAAGGCAAACCCCCGTATGTAAGAAATACCTTTGGCAAAAATATGGCCAAAGAACTATTTTTAGTTTTTAATAATAAAAAGAACTATTTTTATTATGATGTGACTGGTGTGTTCACGCCCTGAGACCTCCCAGCTACCGGCAGGGACAAAGACAGGGACACATGTTGCAGCAAAGGGGAAATACGTTAAAAAGATCACATCCTAGCAGGTCATTAAAGAAAGGCGCGTTCAGACAGGAGTGGGGACTCATATTTTTGCTTACCAAACCGAATAGGTTTAAAACCTATTAATAATTAGACCAACCGTCTGTGAAATGGGTGCTTGAGTATCTGGTTTGTGTCCGATTCTTATGAAAAGCAGTTCAGCGTGTGTATGAAGAGCAGTGCAAAAGGTCGTGTCATTTGACACATCATTTTATTTCCGGCCACGTGGTCTCAGGAAATAATTGAGGACATTGAATCTGAGTAGACCTTGGTCTAGTGTTTTGTTTTTTTTAAATATGTTTTTATTGATTTCAGAGAGGAAGGGAGAGGGAGAGAGAGATAGAAACACCAGTGATGAGAGAGAATCATTGATCGGCTGCTTCTTGCACGCCCCCTACTATGAACTGTGGCTCATAGGTTGATGCTCAACCAGTGAGCCACGCCGGCTGGGCTAGTTTTATTCATAATAGTGACAAGTTGAAAATAATAAGGAAATAGCTAAATAAACCATGAAATATCCACTCGATGGAATATATTTACAGCCAATAAAAATGCCACTCTTATGAGTCTGAAGAGCTGACCTTAGGCTTCGGCTCTGCCACCTGCTAATCGTGTGCCTTTGAACAAGTCCCTTATTCTCTCTAGAATTAAATAACCTCCCCTGTGAAGTGAGGTCGGGGGTCCCCTGAGGAAAGTTGTGAGAGCAAACAGGGTGTGAGGCGGGAGGAAAGGCCCTGGCAGGGCTTGAGGCCACGGTAGGCAGGCGCCTGGCGTGCGCTCCCGCCTTCCCATCAGTGTCAGGGGTGAGACGGTCTCCCCCCTGGGGAGCGGCCACCTGCGCGCTGTGCCTTGTGGTCAGTCCTGTTCCAGCAGGGAGGGGAGCGATTAACTCTCTCTTTATTTCCTCAGCCTGCCTCCGAGAGAGCGAAAAATGGCCGTGACACGTGTGAGTATCTTCCTCCTTTCATCTCTTTAGAAAGAGTCAGCCTGCCATGGCAACAGAGGATGTGAGCTCACATAACAGTTCACAGCCACGTTGGGAGACCTGGGTTCCTAAACCACCTTGTATATATTTGTCCTATCAGCTGCAAGATGGATGGTAATGACAGGCCAGTTGTAGGGGTCAGGGAGAACGTTTGAAAGTACGAAACGTACATAGGAAGATGATATCGTAAGAGTGGGATTACAGAAGAATGGGGTACTGCCATCACCTCGCCTCTACTTAGTGTTATACTCTTCCTGCATCCTTTGACATATGTCGTGTGTCTCAACAACCTGATGAATGGTTATCATCCTTTTAAAAATATTTTTGTTAATTTTTAGAGAGAGAAAGGAAGGGAGAGGGAGAGAGAGAAACATTTATGTGAGAGCAGAACATCTACCGGCTGCCTGCTGCCTACCGGGGATCAAGCCTGCAACCCGGGCCTGTGCCCTGACCAGGAATCGAACCAGCAACCTTTTGGTACGTACATAGGAAGATGATATCGTAAGAGTGGGATTACAGAAGAATGAGGTACTGCCATCACCTCGCCTTTACTTAGTGTTATACTCTTCCTGCATCCTTTGACATATAAGTCATGTGTCTCAACAACCTGGTGAATGGTTATCATCCTTTTTAAAAAAATATTTTTGTTAATTTTTAGAGAGAGAGGAAGGGAGAGGGAGAGAGAGAAACATTGATGTGAGAGCAGAACACCTACCGGCTGCCTGCTGCCTACCGGGGATCGGGCCTACAACCCGGGCCTGAGCCCTGACCAGGAATCGAACCAGCAACCTTTTGGTGCACAGCAGGATGCCCATCCAACTGACCCTCACTGGTCAGGGCATCTCTCTCTCTTTTTTTTTTTTCAGGGGGAGATAATGATGATGATGATGATGATGATCGTTATGTCTTGCAGATTTTGATGAAGACCCTCGGAAGGCATCTGGTTGAAATTAGTTTTGGTGACAGTTCGTATTATTTGTGTGTTTCAGCTCTTGGGACTCCAAAAGAAGCTGAGAATGCCCTTCCCATCCAAGTGGACTACGATGCCTACGACGCTCAAGTGTTCAGGCTGCCAGGCCCATCCCGGGCTCAGCGCCTCGCCACCTGCAGGTTTTCTGCCCGATTCCCTTGGGGGTGGATATAAAAACTGCTTGAGAAAATGTGAGGTCTGGCAGGGACCTTTATGAGAGCAACCTCGAAAATGTTTTCAATTCAAATTAGCCAAATAGCCTGGGGTGGGGTGGGGGCCGGCTGGAGAGGGGGGGTGAGAAAAGGAGACTTAAGTAATACTTTCAATAATAACGAATTATTTTTAAAAAATTTGCCAAATAGGAGGCATGCCTTATAGATCATCAGGTTCTCTGGGTCACATCTGGTTGAAATTAGTTTTGGTGACAGTTCGTATTATTTGTGTGTTTCAGCTCTTGGGACTCCAAAAGAAGCTGAGAATGCCCTTCCCATCCAAGTGGACTACGATGCCTACGACGCTCAAGTGTTCAGGCTGCCAGGCCCATCCCGGGCTCAGCGCCTCGCCACCTGCAGGTTTTCTGCCCGATTCCCTTGGGGGTGGATATAAAAACTGCTTGAGAAAATGTGAGGTCTGGCGGGGACCTTTATGTGAGCAACCTCGAAAATGTTTTCAATTCAAATTAGCCAAATAGCCGGTGGCGGGGGTGAGGGCGGACTGGAGGGGGTTAGTGGGGGAGAAGAGGAGACATATGTAATACTTTCAACAATAAAGAATTATTTTTTTAAAAATTAGCCAAATCGGAGGCATGCCTTATAGATCATCAGGTTCTCTGGGTCAGCCATTTTGTTAGCTCTGTTTGCTGTAACGTATTGTCTCTAATAAGGAGCGTATTTTTCTGCTTTTTACTAGACACTTGGACATCTCATTGGGGATTTTTTAATATATAGTTTTGTTGATTTCCGAGAGGAGGGAGAGGGAGAGAGAGAAACATCAATGATGAGAGAGAATCATGGATTGGCTGCCTCCTGCACGCGCCCACACTGGGGATCAGGCCTGCAATCTGGGCATGTGCCCTGACCGGGAATCGAACCGTGACCTCCTGGTTCATAGGTCGACGCTCAATCACTGAGCCATGCCGGCCAGGCTCATTGGGGACTTTTGTTACTGGTTTCCCAAGTAGCTTGGGCTGGTGACAGGTTTGGGGGCAGCGTCCCTTCCTTGGCGGTAACTGGTCCTCTCTCCCGGGTCAGGTCTGTGCGCGAGCAGGAGAGTCACAGTCGAAAGAGTGCCAGCTCCTGCGACGTCTCCTCCAGCCCTTCCGTGCCCAGCCGGGCGCTGCCCACGGAGGAAGTGAGGAGCCAGGCTTCCGATGACAGCTCCCTGGGCAGGAGCGCCAACATCCTCATGATCCCTCTCCCCCACCTGCACCAGTATGAAGTCAGCAGCTCCTTGGGCTACACCAGCACGCGAGGTCAGAGCCGAAGCCCGGGCCGAGCTGGGCAGAGCAGGGCGCAGCTTCCTTCCTGCAGTGAGGGGTGGGGGTTGGGGGGTTGTGGCCAGGAGTAAGTCCACGGTTAATGATTTCCATGCCAGTGCAGTGAGTACAAACCACCTGAGCTGTCCGTCTGTGTGTCTATGAGGAAAATCAAGCAGGTTTAGTGAACACATGGACTGTCTCTGCCAGGGTCTGGCCCGCTGGTCATCCAAATATATATATTTTATTGTTCCTCTCAGATGCAGAACATACCCACCCCATCTCCACAGGAGGCAATTCAAGTCCTGCCCTTGACGTATACCAGCTTAAAGTGCAGGGTCTTTAAGTCTAGGCGATGTGTGCTCCTCCCCGTCAGTTTGGATGTGGCTTCATTGGGCCAGTCATTTGGGGACCGAGACTAAGTGTTTAAAAAGTAAACACACCCACGGTTTCATTTCTCCCTGGTTTGGTGCTTTTACTCATTTCCCTCACTGCTCGGCATGCGTACTGTCCAAGGTTCTTGGCAGCCTTGGCAGAGCGGACTGCCTGGTTCTGGTTCCTCTGTGGCTCTGTGCTTGTCTCCGTGTCTCATCTCTACCGTAACCGGCAGATGCCCTGGAGAACATGGTGGAGCCGCCGCAGCGAGACTCCAGCGCGCCAGGGCGGTTCCACGTGGGCAGCGCAGAATCCATGCTGCACGTTCGACCAGGGGGCTGCGCACCCCAGCGGGCGCTGATCAACCCCTTCGCCCCCTCCCGGATGCCCATGAAGCTCACGTCCAACAGGAGGCGCTGGATGCACACCTTCCCTGTGGGTGAGTTGGTGGCTCAGGAAAGAGCCGTGGCCGGGCGCTCCCAGGCCTGGTCCTCAGCACCAACAAACCACAGGGCTGCGGTCAAGTATCCAAACTCCTCTGGTACCTGGTGCCCCGCCTGTCAGATGGGGTCGCCACGCCCCCTTTGCCTACCCCGGGGGTTCTCGTGAGGACCCCGAGGGCACACCTGGGAATGGGCTTTGTGACTGTAGCAAGCGGTATGGAGCCGAGGGCTTCTGTTGTTCTGTTTGAAAGAGACTGTGCTTTGCCACCTGCTTTCTTCTAAGACTGATGGCCCTCATTCTCGTTCATTCCTCCCTCTCCTGCCTCTCTCTGGGTTTTATGCAGCTGTGGCTGGAATGCACCTGCAGCTGAATGGGCTCTTGCTGGGCTGGGAAGGGACAGGTGCATGAAACGCCAGGGTTTTTCCTGGAAGCCATCCTGCTGAACGCCTGGGAATGTCTAGTTGTTATTATTATTATAATTTTCTTGCGTTAGTGTTAAATAAGTGAGCAGTGGATCTGGTTCTTTCGGCTGTCATTGGGGGTCATTCTCAGTCCCCTTCTCGCCCTCCTGATCGCTGTCATAGTCAGTCACATGACCTGTTTCTTCTGGGTCTCTTTCTTCCCATTGTTATCCCCGCTGGCTCCCTTCATGTTCTCTTGGGAGAAGGACTATTGGTGTTTCTCCCATGACTCTTCGCTCTTCTTGCTTCTGTGCTTTTCCTCCAACACCCGACACGCAGCACTTCACTGAAACAGTATCTCCAGAGCTGCATCCTCCGCCCACCTGGGCCTCTCATCGCCAGGCCCTCCCTTACCGGGCTTCCCAACTGTCACCATCCTCAGAGGCTCTCTTCTTTCCCAAGCTCATCGCCTGTACGTGTCTTGACTCTTGCACGCCTGGGGTTTCACACGGATCCTTTCTTCCACCTAGACCTCCTCTCTATCAGCCTCGCTGACTTCAATGCTCTGAAACTTCTTTCTCTAGGAAGCAGACTGGACTAATTCTGATGATCTACTCGCCTTTTTTGCGCTTATGTATCTTCTGCTTCTTCGAGCCACAGTTGTTGCTATCTTACATATTAGTCGAATCCTTGGTGTTTCTTTCTTTTTTAAAATATATTGATTTCAGAGAAGAAGGGAGAGGGAGAGTGCTTATGTATCTTCTGCTTCGAGTCACAGTTGTTGCTATCTTATATATTAGTCGAATCCTTGGTGTTTATTTCTTTTTTAAAATCTATTTTTATTGATTTCAGAGAGGAAGGGAGAGGGAGAGAGAGAGAGAAACATCAATGATGAGAGAGAATCATGGATTGGCTGACTCCTGCATGCTCCACACTGGGGATCGAGCCCACTACCCGGGCATGTGCCCCGACCGGGAATCGAACCGTGACCTCCTGGTTCATAGGCTGACGATCAACCACTGAGCCACGCCGGCCGGCCATGTCGCCATTAGATTCCCAGGAGCACAGGCATCAGAGCGGCTGAGATGAAATAGACAGGCGACCGAGGCCTTCACACATATTCCGGGACCTAGAACAAACTCTGCGAACACTTATATGGAACCAAAGAAGACCCCGAAGAGCCGCAGCAATCTCGCGAAAGGAGAAAAAAGTCGGAGGATCACAAGACCAGAGATGACGTTATCCTACAAAGCCTGGCCCCTGGTGCTTGTCCG